GAAGACTGCAATTTCAAAGCCAGCCTGGGCAACTCAGTGAGACTGTGTCTCAAAAATCAAGAAGGCCAGAGATGTAACTCAGTGCTAGAGCACTCCTGGGTTCAATCCCCAGAACTGGGGGAGGGGGTTAATCTTTACAACCAAACTGTAAATTCTATGAGGATAGAGATACATTTGCTTTCTGCCTTGTGTGGACTCTACAGTGCTAAGGACTGTTCCCGGCAGAGTAGGCTCTTGATATACAGAAATGGTTCTGCAGCATTAAGCCTTGAAAAAAGCCTCCTAATACAAATTCATTTTTAATTCAACACCACAAAATCAATACTCTTCCTTGCACATGAAGAAATAAACTGAATCTCAAGTTATTTAGCTAAGATCACTCTGTACAAAAAGATGTAATAGAGTTCAAAATCAGCTGTCTGACCCCCAAAAGTTTATTCTCTACCCTCTCTTTCCCCAGATCCTTCTCAGATGCCACCCAGTTTTCTAGGGAAATTGCTAGAATACCTGAATACCTAGAATACCCAGAATACTGAGGCCTAAGAAGATCCCTACTATTCTTGACTCTCCCACATTCTGACCCCAGGGATTAGTTAATAGAGGAAAAAAATCTGTGGCTCTGCAGCACCCTCTGCTGTCCAGTCACTTTCTTGGTCCCAGAAGAGGCTGCCTATAGTCAGCCATCCCTTGTAATCCCACATGGAGTGGAGAACACAGAGGTCCAAGAGAACACACATGTTCTTTGTAAGGCAGGACAAAGGAATGCTGTCTTTCCCTAATTCCTCAATTGTCCAGGCCTATGTCATAGGTCCTGTAAAATACATTGAGATTAAGCTGTAAGCAAATGATGTGTATCTTTGCATGACTTAGATTTCTGTTTGTTGAGCTGTTTTTACTTTGACGTATAACTTTTTCACTGAGGGCTATAAAAGTGATCCCTGTATTGGTCGTGGTAACTCATACCTGTAATTCCAGCAATTTGGGAGACTGAGGTAGGAGGATCACAAGTTCGAGGCTAACCTCAGCAATTTAGTGAGGCCTTGAGCACCTTAGTGAGCCTCTGTCTCAAAACACAAAATTAAAGGGACATGGGAGGCTACGTGTGGTGGCACACGCCTGTAATCCCAGCTGCTCAGAAGGCTGAGACAGGAGGACTGAGAGTTTAAAGCCAACCTCAGCAACAGCAAGGTGCTAAGCAACTCAGTGAGACCCTGTCTCTAAATAAAATACAAAAATAGGGCTGGGGATATGGCTCAGTGGTTGAGTGCCCTTGAGTTCAATCCCCAGTACCCCCCCAAAAAAAAATAAAATAAAAGAGCATGCTACAGGGACACTGCTACATCGATGTTCATAGCAGCTCAATTCACAATAGCAAGACTGTGGAACCAACCCAGATGCCCTTCAATAGACGAATGGATTAAAAAAATGTGGCATTTATACACAATGGAGTATTACTCTGCATTAAAAAATGACAAAATCATAGAATTTGCAGGGAAATGGATGGCACTAGAGCAGATTATGCTAAGTGAAGCTAGCCAATCCCTAAAAAACAAATGCCAAATGTCTTCTTTGATATAAGGAGAGTAACTAAGAACAGAGTAGGGACGAAGAGCAGGAGAAGAAGATTAACATTAAATAGAGATGAGAGGTGGGAGGGAAAGGGAGAGAAAAGGGAAATTGCATGGAAATGGAAGGAGACCCTCAGGGTTATACAAAAGAACATACTAGAGGAAATGAGGGGAAAGGGAAAAATAATACAAGGGGGAGAAATGAAGGTCAGTAGAGGGGGTAGAGAGAGAAGAGGGGAGGGGAGGGGAGGGGAGGGGGGATAATAGAGGATAGGAAAGGTAGCAGAACACGACAGTCACTAGTATGGCAATATGTAAATCAATGGATGTGTAATTGATGTGATTCTGCAATCTGTATATTGGCTAAAAATGGGAGTTCATAACCCACTTGAAGCAAAGTGTGAAAGATGATATATCAAGAACTATGTAATGTTTTGAACAACCAACAATGAAAAAAAAAAAAGAAAAGAAAAGGGCATGGGGTTATAGCTCAGTAGCAAAGCACCCCTGAGTTCATTCCTCAGTACCCAAAAAAACAAAAAGTGATCTCTGCAGTGGTAGAGTCTTAGTTATAAGGCTTATGAAGACAGATTTAGAGGATCTAAAAACTGTGTATGTGTGAGTGTGTGTGTGTGTGTGTGTGTGTGTGTGTGTTGCTACCGGCCTCTCAAATGCTAAGCAAGCAGTTTATCACTAATCCACATCCCCAGCTCTTAGAGGGTCTAAAGAAGTTCTGAGGTTCATTTAGTCATTCCAACAATGGGCAAGGCTTTGAGCTGCAATCAATGAGACACAAACCCTGCCCTTCTGGACTTTGTGGCTGCTCTAGTTGAAGTCCTAATCACGCCACTGCTTGGATATATAACCAAGTACAAATAATTTAACATCTCTGAACAGCCAGGTGTGCTTGTATGCACCTGTAGTCTCAGTTACTCAGGAGACTGAGGCAGAAGAATTAGGAGTTTAAGACCACCTGGGCAACATAGCAAGAGGTTGTCTTTAAAGTAATAATAATTAAACAGCTCTGAACCTATGTTTCATTTGTAAAAGTAGGTTAGTCATAATCCACCGTTGACAGAGCTCTTGGGATTAAATAAAAATTTACACACAGAGGTGGTTGATAAATTCTAAAGCATTATAGAAATATTAACTGTTTTTATAAAAAGATTCTTAGGAAAAAAATTGTGTTAACTTACCATTAGGTGTATTTTGTTGACCCTCAATTAATGCCACTGTAAGAAAATGGGTTGCTGAGCTTGATGGTGCATGCCTGTAATCCCAGCTACTCCAGAACCTGAGGCAGAAGGATCCCAAGTTTGAGACCAGTCTCAGCAACTTAGTGACTCTTTCTCAAAAATAAAATTTAAAAAGGTCAGGAGGGGCTGGGAATGTGATTCAGTGGTAGAGTACTTGACTGGCATGCTTGAGGCCCTGGGTTCCATCCCCAGCTTTGCAAAAATAAATGTATAAATAAGAATAATACAAGTCTGGAGTTGTAGCTCAGAGAAGAGCACTTGATTAGTTTACACAAGGCCCTGGGCATTCCGGTACTGAAAAAAGAAGGGAATGGGTCACTTGCCCCCCCTTCTTCCCTTTCTCTGTCAGCACACAGAATCAGAAAGGCCAAGGAAAGAACTATGGATGTGCAGTACAGCTTTCCGTTCCTAGATATGCCACTAACTGGCACGGTGTCCTTGAAAATGTCACGATCCTTTTAGGGTTTTCATTCCCTTATCTGTTAAAGAGATGTCTAGATTATGGGCCAAAAGGTCTCATTCTGACATTGTAGAGATTCTCCTGGGGGCTTGCCCTCTAGACCCCTTCTCTCCCATACTCCTTACATCTCCACTGACTTTCCACAGCAGACTTATTTGTAGAGCCACCCATAAAGCAAGGAACGTTTTCAGCAACCATCAACCATCATTTCCTACATACACTCAGTGATCTTGGACATCAAACTTTGACGGTGGGGCATTGAAAAGAAAAGAAGCCAAGAGACGGTCTATACAAGTAGGGCCAGGTTGCCTGGTGAAGTGGGAAGCACATCGGCAATGCAGAGGTGATGGAAGAGAGAGCGGGTGGTAGGAGGCAGAAGCTATGGCTTCCTCCAAGAATTCACTCCCTTCCAGATCCCAAGAGGCTGCCTCAGGTGGCCCTGACTCTGGGTTCCCAGTTATTGTGTCCAACAGAGGGAAGGATGTGAGGTATAAGAAAACTGAGAAGAACTAGAAAGACTAATCACAATTTTCATGAAGAGAGGAAGAAAGCAGGGCTTAGGACGATAAAGTAAAGGTGGAAGAAATGGAAGCAAAACTTTATTCACTCTTTCCCCTGCTCTGCATCCCCATGCTATTGTGCCTGTTAACTCTGTAGACAGGAAAAGGAAGACCTAGGTCAGGAAGGGAGACCTGGGTAAGGCCCCAGCTCTGTCAAGAACAACAGTATGCTCCTAAGGAAGTGCCTTCAGTTCTCTGGGCCTAGAGTTACTCCTCTGTCAGAGGTGCTATTATGGTCCTTGAGGCTGAGTACTGGGGGGATCGTGGTGGTTTGATTGGGAAGAGTTGGGGAGTCAGAGTTCTGGGTTCAAGTTTCAATTGAAAATGAGTTGTGTAATCTGGGGTGGGGCATTGTCTCTGATCCTCAGTGTCTGCACCTGAGAGATGAGGATAAGGCTATCTACCATACACGGTTATGGGGCAGAATTCATCGAGATTATGTATAGAATAAACATGTAATAAACTGCCACAGTGTATTCAAAGGCTGACCATGGTTATATTGAGCTCTTTCTTCTATCCTTTCCACTCCCAATCTCAAAATCCAGTTAAGCAGCACGGTGTCAGGGGGGTGCACACAGCCAGAGCAGACTGCCAGGAGATGCAGCCTGGCCCTTATCATGCCTGTTGCAATTGCTGCCAGGAGGCCCAGTGGAGCAGAGGGGTGGAGAGAGGGTCACGGGCTCACCCGTGGTTGCTGTGGCACCCCATCCTGGATTTGCCCATCTCTCCTAATGGAGCAAAGGGCAGAGGGAGGAGAGAGAGAACTTCTGGTCCCTTCCCCTCCTCTCTCTCTCTCTCTCTCTCTGAAGCAGATGTGGGGTGGGGGTGGGGGGAGACTGGGTACTGGATCAGAGCAAGAGGAAAGAGTGATATGCCAGGATTAAAAGGGTTTGAGATAGGGGCCACACTGAGAGAGCAGGGGCAGAGCCCCCATACCTACATCCAGGAGCCAGCCAGCTGATGACGTTAGAAGGAAGAAAACAAGTGAGACAGTGCCAGAGAGAGAGAGAGAGAGAAACAGAGAGAGAGGGAGAGAGAAACAGAGAGAGAGGGAGAGGGAGGGAGGGAGGGAGGGAGGGAGGGAGAGAGAGAGAGAGAGAGAGAGAAGAGAAGAGGAGAGGAGAGGAGACCTGGAAGCAGCCAGCCTTTGCCTGGGATCTCCTGAGCAACTAAATCCCCAGGCAGCCTGATCCCCAGGGTCTTGAGAGCGGCCCGAAGAATGGGTACCTGGGCAATGATGATGCCCTCTCTTGCGTGGCGGCTGCTGGGTTGCTGTTTCATCTGCAGCTGGGCTCTGAGGGATCCGAGGCCCCTCCGTTCTCTTCCTCCACTACCCTCCCAAGCCAAGCCAAGATCTATGCCCATGTGGGTGGCCTCACAGGGGGCTGAGGCAGCCCTGGCTTTTCTTTACTCCGGAGATGCCCAACAGCTATTGGGGGCTAATTGCAGTGAGCGCTATGAAGCTCTTGGAGCAAAAGCCAGACCAGGGCTCCCCCAAGTTCTACAGAGGGCAGCAGGTACTCTTACCCAGGCTGCCAATTTTCTCAACATGCTGCTACAAGCCAATGACATCCGCGAGTCCAGTGTGGAGGAGGATGTGGAGTGGTACCAGGCACTGGTCCGCAGCGTGGCGGAGGGGGACCCAAGGGCCTACCGGGCTTTGCTGATCTTTAACCCTCCACCAGGAGCCAGCCATCTACAGCTGGCCCTCCAGGCCACTAGGATCGGGGAGGAGACCATCCTTCAAGACTTGTCTGGGAACAGGATGCAGGAAGAGAGCTCAGCTGAGGAACCAGACAGCCTTCCCCTGCAGAAACGGGTGCTGACCAATGACCTAAGAAGCCTCAATAGCCCCAAGTGGCCACAGGGGGATGGGTATGTGGGGGACATACAGCAGGTGAGACTGTCTTCTCCCTTCCTGGAATGCCAGGAGGGCCAGCTCCGTCCTGGCTGGCTGATTACACTCTCGGCCACCTTCTATGGACTCAAGCCAGACCTCAGTCCAGAGGTCAGGTAAGTGGGTTTGCATTGGATCTGATGGATTTGTGGGTATGTGGCAGTGGGGACATTAGTCTACCCAGCTGTGCATGGGACATTTGGCAAAAACGTGTGTGTGTCTGGGGGGCACAGATGTGTGTGTTTGTATTCAGCTGTGTGTATTTGCAGCCAGCTCTGTGAATCTATAACTATCTGTTAACACACGCAGGTGTGAGTGTACATACTGAGTATGAATCAGTCCATTTATGCTTCTTTATCTTGGTATTTGTATTTATGTTCTTGATCATATGAATGAATGCCTATGAGCTTGTGCATGTACAGGAAGGTGTGCATGTACAGGAAGGTATGCATACGTAGGAACACATCTAGATGTAGATATACACACTTGTAGGTATAGAGGTGTGTGGATATAGACAGGCATCAGTCTTGACCCTCAGGTCTGAGGAGTGGATGTGAAAGGCAGGAGGGGGTGCTGGGGATGTGGCTTGCCTGGCATGTGGAGGCCCTGGGTTAGATCCCCAGTGCTGCAAAGAAATTAAAAAATAAAATAAAAAAAGAAGGCAAGAAAGGGCTTGGCTTAGGTGACAGTGACAATCCATATATGAGGCTTTTCCAAGGAGCCAGGGTGGGCACTCCAGGAGTTAAATCTGCTGTTTGAGTGGAGAGTTATAAGAGAAGGCTTCCCCAGGAGAAAAATTCTTGGGCAGGAGCTTGGAACCAACACCCTTTCTATCTGGGGTGCCAGGGTCATTCCCAAGGCCAATTTTCTTACATTAAGCAGGCCCCAACTGTCCTGCCTGTCCTGACCCAGGAGCTTGTGATACTCCTCCAATAACTGACTGCTCTCTGAGCTAGAGCAAGGGGCTTGGGAGTCGTGTTGGGAAGCGGGCAGCAAATGAACACAGTACTACGAGGCATTCAACAGTTAACATTGCTTTTCTAGCTCAGTGTCCCCCAATTTGTTCTCAGCAGAGTCCCCCTCCTGCAGGAAGGCAGATGGCTCTTTGCCAGCTCTCTCCTCACTCAACCCAGAGCAGGGATTGGGAATTGCTGGGTCAGGCAGCTCCAGTTTAGGGCTCCTCCTTTTGCTGTGATCAGTTCAGAACTGCTGGGACAGAGTGGGGGTGGGGATAACAGCCTCACTGCTTGTGTATGTGTATACATGCAAAGTGGAATTGTGCAAATCCCCTTCAGACAGATAGATTCTCAGAGGCCCAGCTCCTGCATGTTTGGCATGCCCCCACCCTTTACTCATTGAAAGAAATTGTAAAATGATAGGATGTTGAAAAGTGGAGGGGTGGGGGAACAACCCAGTGGAAGGAGTTTGTTGCCACAAAGAACAGAGCACTGGAGAAGTGGAATCCATGTGTGCCCTCCTTCTATGCTGCAGCCATTGTGCTAAAGTTTGCAAAGACTACATTGCCCCACAGTCTAGTACCCAAGTATCCATGCTCACCTTGACATTCATCACTGTGCCCCTAATTGCTAATTCACTGCCCTAGGGGGCAGGTGCAGATGGACATAGATCTCCAGGGCGTGGACATCAATCAGTGTGCAAGTGGCCCAGGCTGGTACTCTAATACACACCTGTGTGATCTCAACAGCACCCAGGTAAGGATAAGGAGGGTGGAGGGCCTCTAGGTCCTGCCTCCCTGCCCTTTGCCCATCACTGCCACCACCCAGCTCCCAGAAGCAGCTGACAAAGCCGACCGAGCATCTCAGGGCTTCAGGGAAGTCCTTAGTGATTAGCAGAGGTGAGATGCCAGTCTTTTATTAAAAGTGAGACCACGTATGACCTATCCCTTTACCTCCCAGCCTTCGCCCCCCCCCCCCAGGAAACTATCCCTCATGCCTCTGAAATCTCAGTGTGTCTCCCTGCCTGCCCTCCTTCCTGGTGCTCATTGCTCCAGAGCCACTTCTGAGCCTCCATTAATCATCTTCTTTCCTTCCTCTGGATCACATACTGCCTGTCAACACAGCTCTGAAATCCTCATGGTCACAAAGGATACTCCATCTGTGTTTGTCAAAATAAATGGAATTACTGGTTGGGTGACCAGCAATTTGGGACTGGTGTGGGGGATGGACCCCAGGCCAGACCCAGGCAGAGTCAAAGCCACAGGCACAGGTACATCAAGATGATGGACATCACTGGCTGGCAATCGTGCAAGCCCAATACTGGGAGGCCAGGAAGCCAGTGAAGTTATCCACTCTATGGGTTACACCAAGTGCATGATTGTTTCTGAGCTGTACTGAAGCCAAGGCAAGCTTTGCAACTTGTTGGGTGGGTGGACATATTGCTCTGGACATACAGGTGGCCCTATTGCTCTTCAGGGACATGTGTTTGGACCTAGAAGTCTAAGAATAGAAGGAATTGAACCCAGGGCCTCTCACATGCTAAGCAAGCACTCAGTTCATTTTTTAACCTGGCCACATTCACTTCCCTGGGTATACATTTATCTGATTGTGCAGACTGGGCTGCGTGTGGTGGCACACACCTGTAATCCCAGTGACTAAGAAGGCTCAGACAGGAGGATACAAATTTTAGGTCAGCCTCAACAACTAAGTGAATACCTTAGTGAGACCCTGTCTCAAAATAAAAAAGAAAAAAGACTGGAGGGCTGGAGTTGTAGCTCAGTGGTAGAGCACTTGCCTAGCATGTGTGAAGCACTGGGTTCCATCCTCAGCACCACATAAAAATAAATAAAATAAACGTATTGTGTCCATCTACAACTGAAAAAAAAATTATATAAAAAAGGACTAGGGATGTGGTGGCTCAGTGGTAAATCTCCTCTGGGTTCAATTCCTAGTAAAAATAATAATAATAATAATAATAATAATAATAATAATAAATGTTTGTGCAGACTGTGGCAGGAACAGAGCATGTTCCAGTGGTCCAGGCAAGAGCGGAAGCTGGGCCTCAATTTCATAAGCACCTAGGTGAGGTCAGGAGCTACATATAGAATCTCCTAAGGCTAACTCCTTCCTTTGTCCCACTGATGTCTGTTCCCAGCAACTCTCCCCAACAGATCTGACCTCATCCACATGCTCATCTTCTCTGCCAGACTCTGTTCCCTGCTGGGCAAACATCAATGGGTGGAGGTAGAATAAAGGACTGGCCTTGGCATCCCACCAGCCTGGCATTAGGCCAGCATTAGGGCCAGCGAAAGCAGTTCTGTGCCCAAGCCAGATGGCCCCTGATGGAGAAAGCTGCTCCACCACCGGGAGCCTTTTCAGTCCACCTGTGCATCAAAGAGGGTGGATGATGCGGACCCTTTGAAGCAGCACAGAGGCAGAGCTCTGTGGCTCAGAGCTCTCTTCTTCCACTTCCCACCTGGTACCTTGCCCTAGCAACCTAGAACCTATGAAGCTCCTGTCACTGCCAGACTAAACAAAAGGGTGATCTATCTCATACTTATTGCTTAGGGTCTCTTTGAAAAAGGGCAACAGTAGGGGGGAAGAGAGGGGTTCCAAAGAAGAAAGGCTCTCCTCAGGAAGAGCCTCTGGTGGGATCTCCAAGAGTAGATCCAAAAGTCATGGACAAGAAGCTAGATGCACCCTCCCTGAAGACCCCATATAAATACATATTTGTCATCCTCACAGTGTGTCCCCCTGGAGAATCAGGGCTTTGTTCTTGGCCGCTACCTCTGTCACTGCCGACCTGGATTCTATGGAGCAAGTGGCTTTGGGGGTAAGTACAGTGAAGACCAGGTAGGTTTTTACAGGCTAGACTGGTGAGGAAACGTGGGAAGGAAAGGCAGTTTGAGGATCCTGAGAGAGAGCTTGTGGGGCAAAAGCAGAAGGTCAAGAGAAAGCAGGGGATGGCAGCAGGATTTTGTGGGGGCATCTGCCTTCTAAGAGTGAGCCTGAACATGTAGGTATGTTGAAAGCTGGCTTCCCAATGAGCCCTAACCTCTTCCTATTACCACTTCCTGGTACCTCTTTCTGGCATCACCTCTTCCTGTTACCCTGCCCTCCCCAAGGAATACCTACTCCCTCGTGTCCCTGGGACCACAGACCGTAGGAGGGCAGGGCAACCACCAGGACAGAAGGCTAGGATCTCAGGATGCTCCAAACAAGCCCCTATCTCTGCACCTATTTTGCTCTTTACAGGGTTAGAGGAAAGTGCCACACAGACTACCAGCCAATTTGGGTCTCCACAAGGCAGCTTGGGGAGGCTGCTGAGGTGTCAGCCATGTTCCGAGGGCTGCACCAGCTGCATAGATGCCACACCATGCCTGGCAGAGGAGGCCCCAGCCCTGCGGGCAGCAGTACTGGCCTTCCAGACCTGCTGCATGCTGGCCGTCTTCCTGAGCATGCTGGTCTCCTACCACTGCCGCTGGAGCAAGGCAAGGAAGGCCCTGCCGCTCTCTCCTGCACACACATCCTACCCATCCCTAGTCCAGACATGGGTCTACTTAACACTAGAACTCAGGAGAATGGGCCAGTCTTAATTCTAAACCTAACTCACTATATGACATTAAGCAAGTGACCTCCTTACCTTAATCCTGTTTCCTTACCTGCAAAATGAAGGCACTGAACTTAATTCAGCAAATGCTTGTTGAATATATATGCTAAGCAAATCATTACCTAGGCACTAGAGGAAGTGATCTGGACCCTCCTGGAGAGTCTGGTTAATGGAAGACACACTAAAATAACAGCACAGTGAGACAGGGGCAAGGAAAAGGCTGCTGTCAGTTGCTATGGGAGCTTGGAGAAGGGATTGGTATCCTGCCAAAGATGGCATTGGAAGCACTTTCTGGAGAATGTGACATTTGAGTGAAGCTTGAAGGTTAACTGGATACTTGTTGGGCAGAGAAGGTTTATTCCATTCCAGACAATGGGGCAGTGTGACTCAAAACTCAGAGGTATGCAGGAGATCCTTCCTATCTCCAGCAACCTCTGATTTGAGCTCAGAGTGGGACTGGGTGGGGAGCACAGGACTGCAGGAAGCCATGTGAAACCTTGGCCATAGCCAGGCTTAGTGCTGTGCAGCTGAGAGCGTAGGTAGTGGGAGTGCAGATGTGGCTCAGGACAGAGGGTGGAGTCAGTCTAGGGTGAAGCCTTCCCCTAGGCCCAGAGTGACCCCTAAACAGACCTACAACCTTCCAACATCATCATCCAGGCTCCATCCCCCCACTGCCCTGCTCACAGGCCTCTCTTTTTCCATGGGTTCACAGAGAATCCGGGCATCTGGAGTTGTCCTGTTGGAAATCATCCTCTTTGGATCCCTGCTTCTCTACTTTCCTGTGAGTCTGTGGCCAGCGGCTAACCCCACCTCCCAGGATCCTCCACAGCCCCAACCTGGCACCCTCCAAACCCTAAAAACCCTATTCTCTGCTCTCAGAGGATTCAGAGACCTCCAATTACCCAGGCTGGTCTAGTGAGCTCTGGAGCCAAACAGCCTCAGGCTTAAAAAAGCTCCATGATCTGCTATGGTGATTTAGGAAAAGTTACTTAACTTCTCTGATACTTAAGCTACTCCTCTGCAGAATGGAGATGATGATGCCTCTATTGCAGGGCTCTTGGGAGGATTAGCCGTGTGTGTTGCACAGAGCCCAGCACAGCAGTAGTGCAGTGGAGAGCAGCTCCTCTTGTTCCCTTCCCACCAGGTCTTCATCCTATACTTCAAGCCCAGCGTGTTCCGCTGCATTGCTCTTCGCTGGGTTCGGCTGCTGGGTTTTGCCATCGTCTATGGGACCATTATACTCAAGCTTTATAGGTAGGGCCCGGGAAGACCTTGCTCTCACACTTCTCTCCTAGGTCACCTGGGCTCATTCGTGCAATGGAGTTTTTCCAAATCAAACCCTTACCAGCTCCACTCCGCTCTGCCCCCATCATTCACCCTCCCCCACATGTAACGTTTTGGGGAAACCATGGAAAGAATAGGACACACAAATGTGTGGCGGGGAGGGCAGCTACAACAGAGGTCAGGGATCTGGCTGCCGTCCTCAGCCCCCAGCTTCCACGTGCGTCCTGACTCTTGCAGAGTGCTCCAGCTGTTCCTGTCTCGCACAGCCCAGCGGGGCCCACACCTGAGCAGTGGGCACCTCCTGCAGCGCTTGGGGCTGCTCTTGCTGCTCATGCTGGGTTTTCTGGCCATGTGGACAGTCGGCGTCCTGGAGCGAAGCATCCAGCACACACCTTTGGTGACTCGAGGTCACACTCTCACTGGCCGCCACTTCTACCTCTGTCACCACGACCGCTGGGACTACATTATGGTTGTGGGTGAGCTGCTTCTTCTGAGCCCAACCTCACTCTGGCCCCTGGCTCCATACCTCCAGGGTCCTCTTGTGCTGGTCCTCCCACCCTGTGCCCAGACCCTGGGCCCAGGCTCCTCAGCATGCCCTGTGGAGACAGGAGCAGCAAGCTGCTGAGTTGGTGCCACCCTGTCCCTTTCACTGCCCCACAGCTGAGATGCTGCTGCTATGCTGGGGCAGTTTCCTCTGCTACGCCACCAGGGCTGTGCCCTCGGCCTTCCATGAGCCACGCTACATGGGCATTGCCCTGCACAATGAGCTGCTGCTTTCGGCTGCGTTCCACATGGCCAGGTGAGGACAGGCCCAATTACCTGGGTTTCCTCCCACCTTGATGCTACTCCTCCCCTCCCAGGTGAGGGGGCCCATCCAATGATTGTCCTTGCAACACTGCTATGCCACAACAGGATGAGGAAGGGCCCCTCCATACCCCTCCTGCACCCCATGCCTCACCCAGATGAGAGGCAACTACCCAAAAGAAAAGGAAGTTTGTCCCCCTTCTAATTCCTGTCCCCTTCCTAAGCCACCACTCTAGTACCCCCAATATGTACTTTCCAACACACCCTCACTTCTCCCTGCCTTCTTCCTCACTCAGCCACTTGAGCAGTAGGTCTGTTGTATGCCCATGGGGACCTGGCCCTGTGGTAGAGACAGAATCAACCCACAAGGTGATCCTGACAAGTCATGGAGCATGATTCTGTTCTGCACACTAGGCAGTCTGAGAAGGAGAGCTGGAGCAACCTGGGAGGGCTTCTTCAGAGGTGGGATTAACATGAGCTGTGCCCTGGCCTTCCACTATCTGGGAGAGGGCAGGAAGAAGAGCACCTTCCTCAACCATGGAGCTCTGGGCTGGGGAGAGGAGCCTTCCAGGTGAGGCCAGGAGGCCACGCCCACCTGCACTACAGATCACCCCCCTCCTATTCGGCCCCCAGGTTTGTGCTGGTTCCGTCCCTGCACCCAGACTGGACTCTTCTCCTCTTCTTCTTCCACACCCACAGCACAGTCACTGCCACACTGGCTCTGATCTTCATCCCCAAGGTGAGGTCTTACCCCTCTGCATGAGGCAGACCCCTCCCCTTGATAAGAGCACTGTAGATCTGCCACCACTGCGCCCTCTCCAGGTCAGGGCAAGGATGACAGAAGGTGCTAGAAGTGAGTGAGCTCTGAGTGACAGGGCCCTCGGCAAGGACATGGGTGGGAGGAGAAAGATATTCTCTGCTCCAGTTCTTGGGCAAAGGAAATAAGTGCTAGAGCTGGAGAGGTCCCTTTATCCACAGGTGGAAGGCTGGTGGCCTCTGAAAATCTGCTTGGAAGTAGTTACAAAGAGGCAGGTGGGGGAGCTGAAGGACATAGCTAAGGATTGCCGAGGCAGGAGGGTGGGATTGCCATGGTCTCAGCTACAGAAGAGCAGAGAGGATGAGGAGGAGTTACATCCTACAGATCCTCAGAATTCCAAATCAGAGGAGGGATGAAGAACACAAAGTAAAGATGTATCCCACAGGGCAGGTGAGAGTAGGAGTCAGTGGGGAGCTACAGTGAGCTGTGCCCTGGCCTTCCACAAGCAGTTACATGAGCATGATCTCTTCCCCCATGCACACCTACCCTGGCTAGTTCCGGAAGTCAGGGGCTCCTCCCCGGGAGGAGATCTTGGATGAGGTATATGAAGATGAGCTGGACCTGCAGCGCTCAGGCTCCTACCTCAACAGCAGTATCGCCTCAGCCTGGAGTGAGCGCAGCCTGGACCCTGGAGACATTAGGGTAGGTACCACCCACCTCCTTAACTTCTTTGATACCAGCTCTTAAGATTGGGCAGAGGCTGGGTACAGTGGTGCAGGCCAATAATCCCACCTGTCTCAAAATACAAAACAAAAAGGGCTGGGAATGTAGCTTAGTGGTCAAGTGCCCCTGGGCTCAATCCCCAGTATGTGTGTGTCGGGGAGCCTGAGCAGAGGTAGCATTGTGTGACACTGTGTGACACTGCAGGTTCCCTCCCCAAAGGTTACCCACCCTTCAAGACTGCCTTCTCCCTTCTCCAACACAGCCCTAAAAACTGACTCTTCTGACTCTATTCAAATGAGGCTATATAGCACCCAAGTAGAAAGACCCAGAACCCAGATCTTGGAGGCCCAGGCCCAGGCCATGCAGCAAACTGGAGGCACAACTGAGTGGAGCCCTAATCCTTCTTGTCTTCATCGTGGTGGGCAGATAAGAAACCCCTTGGTACCCAGCAAAGCAGGCTGGTTGGTGACCTAAGGGTCAGCTGTGGGGTTGGGCAGTTCAGGCAATGAATGGCCATCAGGATTTCCACACCAGAATCCCTTCCCTGGACCTGGTAGATCTTGAAAAAAACAAAGTTCTTTCTGGGCTTATCCTGGAAGATCATTCTACTCTAATTTTTCTGCTCAAGGAGAGCATTATATGCACAGGAACCATAAGAAGAGGCTTGGTGGGGAGGAAACAAGGAGACCCAGGGATTTTATAAAACCTAAGGTACAGGAGCCATCCTGGGAAACCATTTTGTCCATCCCTTCCACTCCACCGAGGCCCACCTACACTTTACTTGTTTATAGTCCTGCAAAGGAGAATCTTCCACCTCTTCACTCCCTTCTTATCCAACTGCCTCTGCCTGTTTCCCCATGTCCTCCTAACCTTTTCAGCTTCTGACCCCTCTCAGGCAAAGACTGAGCTCAGACTCCCATCGAGCTGGGAGGTCAGGGAATGTAGACATGCTTTGCCACAACCATGCCACACTCGGCTTCCTACTTTATGGAACATAAGTGTGCTCCCCTTGTGCTGGCTCAGGGGAGAAACTGAGCATAACAGACATGCAAAGCCCCAGTTCCATCATTTCTATCTAAATACAACATTTTCTGATGCACTAGTTCCATCAAGCTCATAATCCTCTTAAGGACAAAAACACTGGTCAGTCAGGTAGCATCACTTTTTAGAAGATGCAAAGGCTCAGAGACGTCAAGAAAATAGCCTTAAGGCCCAAATGGGTTAGCAGTGTCAAATCCATTTTCTGTTCACCATGTTGGTAATTTCCCACCAGATCACAGTGCCCCAGAGAATGGAGGGCACTCTAATCCCTGGGTATTTAATGGATCCAGCTCAAAGCAGATTGGTACTGGTCTTGTAGGAATGGAGTGGTGAATCTCAGAGGCTTAGAAGTAGGGAAGGGACATATTATATTTAATGGAAAAGAGATGCCCAAAGAAGTCTAAATAAGGACCAAGGGGGAGACCAGCCAGGGATTGCTCAGTCTGTACATCTCAATAACAGCTCACTGACAGGTCTGCTCTCCTTGTTCCTTTCCTCAGAAGGAGCTGAAGAAGCTCTATGCCCAGCTAGAGGTCAACAAGACCAAGGAAATGGCTGCTAATAACCCCCACCTGCCCAAGAAGTGTGGCAGCTCCCGCCAGGGGTTGGGCCGCTCCTTCGTGAGGTACCTGGCTGAGTTCCCTGAGGCCCTGACCAGGCAACACTCCCAGGATTCAGGCTCCCTGGGCCATGGCAGCCTGCCTGGCTCCTCCCACCATCGGCTCTGCAGTTCTAGCCTGCAGGAAGCAGAAGGGCCACCAGCCCTGCCCAAGTCCTGTAGCACCTATGACCACCAAAGGGAGCAGGACCCACCTCTCCTTGACTCCCTGCTGAGGAGGAACCTATCCAAGAAGGCCCCTCGGGTGGAGAGCAGGGAGTTGATGGAAGGGCCCTCTGCCCTGGGCTACAGGTCAGCCAGTGCCCATAACCTGACAGTTGGAGAGAGGGTCCCCAGGACGCGGCCCACTTCCCTGCAGAAGTCCCTCAGTGTTGTAGCTGGCTCTAGGGAAAAGGCCCTGCTTGTGGCCAGCCAAGCCTATTTGGAAGAGACCTACCTGCAGGCAAAGGAAAGAGAGGAGCAAAAGAAGGCCGAGGCAGCCATGATGAGCCCAGCGCAGAGACCATCAGCAAGGAGGCTGGAGCCGGCTCGAAGGGCCCCCCTGTCAGCTCCACCCTCCCCTGCCAAGAGCAGCAGCGTGGACAGCTCTCACACCTCTGGGAGGCTTCATGAAGAGGCTGGTAGGAAGCTGCCTCACCCACCCATCAGGCACCAGGTCTCCACACCCATCCTGGCCCTGTCTGGGGCCTGCCTGGGAGAGCCAAGAACGCTGTCTCCCAACTCCACTCTGACTCCAGCTCTGATGCCACCTCTGGCCCCAACCCCTACCCCTGCCCTGGCACCAGTGCCAGTATCCCCACAAAGCCCCAGCGTATTCACCTACATCTGCCCCTGGGAGAATGAAGAATTGCCAGTCAAGAAAGAAAATGCTGCCCAGGAAGCTCCCTCAGAACCTGAGCGAGGCAGCCACTCCCCCGCCCTAGCCACAGCCAGGCTCTGGAGGGCTCTCTCTGTTGCAATAGAGAAAAGGGGAGCTGGGGAACCTGAGATGAACACAGAGGAAGGGTGTCTCCAGGGGGAAGCTGATGATGTGGGTGGGGACAGGCCCAAGATCTCTAAAGCCCACAGCCTCAGGACCCCTGTGCAACAGGCCTCCATGCGCAGCCTAGGCCTGGCTATCAAAGTGCTGACCCGTTCTCGGAGCACTTACAGGGAGAAGGAGAATGGAGAGGAAAGTCCAGAAAGGGATAAGGACAAGGCTCCAGTGGAGGGTGCAGGGGCTTTCCCCCGGTCTCCTAGGCTGGGGCGGCCCAAGGCAGTGAATAAGCAGGCTGCCCTGGCCCCCTGCAATGATGAAGAGTCCCTCCAAAACCAACAGAATGCCCACACCAGCAGAATGCTCCAAGTCCAGCAACAGGAAGGCAGCAGAGAACAAGAGGACAGAGGCAGAAGGACATCCCAGGGTCTAGGGGAGCAGAAAGTTGAGAGAACGGGTGAAATAGGGCTTGCCATACTTAGGCAAGTTTCCAAGGACAAAAATGCTGAACAGGCAAAGGCAGCCCCTGTAGGGCGGCTGGAACGGCCTAAAGCTGGCCTCCACCCCCTGGACAGTGCTGACTTCACAGTGCCGGAGGTATGTCCCTGGGAAGTCACTGAGTCACCAACATGTCAGCTAGACAGTAACAACAAGGTGGAAATCTGCCCCTGGGAGGTGAGTGAAGGAGCCCCTGAGAGGGAGGCAGTAATGCAAGAGCTTGAGGACGCCCATGAAGAGAGGGGCAAAGTCCCAGAAAAATCAGAGTCCAAAAGAGTGACTGTCTTCACGCGGAAAAAGCCAGAGAGGCTGGTGAGGGGCCAGGAGGCAGTGTGTCCTTGGGAGAGTGCCGATCCTGGAGGTCTGTCCCCTCAGTCAGTCCCTCAGGACTCTGACAGAACCAGGGGCAGGTCTGAGGCAGTGGGCAGTGTGGAGGCAAGGAAGGCAGAGAAGGACCCCAAGGAAGACATGGACCCAGAGGCTTGTTCACCTGACACTGCCAAGGAAGACCTGTGCTCCCAGAAAGAAAGTGAAAGGGAGGGGAAAATGGCCCAGGAGGTGATGGCGCTCCCCCAGGAAAGGCAAAAAGCTCCCAAGAAAGCAGCCTTCTGGAGAGAACAGAAACTGGGTGGAGATCTGCAGTCTTTTTGTCCGTGGGAGAGTACAGACTTCCGGGGTCCCTTGGCAGTCTCACTTCAGGTCCCAGAAAGTCTGGGCAATGGTATTGCAGAAGTGTGTCCATGGGAGGCAGGAGATTCACCTGCTAACAAGAAGTCAGAGATCTGTCCCTGGGAGCTAGGTGATGCGCTCCCAGGGAAGGAAGCACCAAGTCAGGAGGCAGGAGGAGAATCTCTCCAGGAAAAGAAGAAAGCCCCCGGAAAGGGGAGCTCAGGAGAGATGGGGGAACAAACTGTGAAGGCTGTGCCGGCAGTAAGTCCATGGCAGGAATCAGTGTGTCTCTGGGAGGGCATAGCCCCTGTACAGTCTAGCCCATGTCCAGACATCTCCTCATCCAAAGCTGGTGACCAACTCTTAAGCAATGGGAACAGCAGAACAATGCAGTTGGGTCCATGGGAAGCTCTTAAGCCAGAGAAAAAGGGAACAACTCCTGCCACAGCAGAAATCTGTCCCTGGGAGGTAAATGAAACACAAGACTGGACATTGGGACAGGTACCAAAAAAAGGAGAATCTCAAAAGGACAAGGGGACAATGCTTGAAAAAGCAGGAATCCCCCAAGAGGTCACAGCATGGGAAAAGCTGGAGGCAGTCTGCCCCTGGGAGAGCATGGACCCTGGTAGCTTCCCCCTACAACCAGGTGCTCAAGGCACAGAGAGACCCCAAACTATTTTCCAGAGGTCAGGCAGTGTAAGAAGCAAAGCTGCTGAGATCTGCCCATGGGACATGGAAGAGACTCTGGCAGCAGAGAAGACAAAGATCTGTCCCTGGGAAGTAGGTGCTGGAGCAGGAAAGGGAAGGGCTTTGGAAGTTGAGGCCATTAGGAAATCACCAAAAGATATAGGAAAAATGTCTGCAGATTCTGTACCCAAGGAGAGAACAGTTACTGATTCAAAGAAGCCACAGAGTCCAGGCCTGGAGGTTGCCTGTCCATGGGAGAGCTCGAGTCCAGGAGGCTCCTGTCAGAATTCAGACACTCTGGACACTGATGGACCAAAAGTTCGACTCCAGGAACTGGACCGTGTGGGCTGCAGGGCAGCTGAGGTATGTCCCTGGGAAGTAGAAGAAGCCCTCACTCATGCAAAAGCCAACATCTGTCCCTGGGAGGTGAGTGAAGGAGCTACTGGAAAGGGACTGAAGCAAGAGACGGGGAATGAATCAGCAGGGAAGAGGGAGAAAACTCTAGAAAAGGAGAGACTCACTTTCCCTAGAGAAGGCATAGCAAAATGGGAGGCAAAACACCATCAAGAACAGGAAGTTATTTGTCCTTGGGAAGAAAAAGACTTGAGGGAACCATCTGCTCAGACCTCCAAGGTCTCAGACTTGTCCAGCAACACTAGTAGTCAGGTGGCAGAGGGATATTCCTTGGAAGTGAGTGATGAAGCAACACAGAAAGGGGACCTGAGACAAGACCCAAGAACAGACTCCCTCCCAGAACACATGACTCATGAAAAAGCTCAAGCTTCAAAAGCAGAATTCATTACTGAAGGTGGAAGAACAAGCAACCAACTATCATCCATCTGCCCATGGGAGAGCGTGGTGCCAGCAGGCTCTTTCTTGCAGCAAGACCGTCAGCACCCTGACCAACCTACAGCCAGCTCCCAGAGTCTGCTCAGTGCTGGGAGCAAGGTCGCTGAGGTATGTCCATGGGATGCTCCTGATCCAGATGTGTATAAACCTGACAGCAGCTCCAAGGCCGAGATCTGTCCCTGGGAGGTAACTGAGAAAATCCCTGAGAAAGGGTCATGGAGACAGGATAGAAAGAGGGAATCTCAAGAGGAAGGAAGAGCCCCAGAAAAACTAGAGCCCAAAGGTGTGACAGTCCAGAAAACATCAGAGATAGCTGATTTTGAGAAGCAGGAGGCTGGGGAGAGCCAAGATTTGGGGGGTTTGTCTTTACAATCAGACCCACATGCTTGTGACAGAAGCAAAGGCAATTCTGAGACAGCAGGCAGAGTGGGGGCCAGGGTGGCAGAAGTGTGTCCGTGGGAAGTGGAAGAGACTCCCTCTGCCAAGAAAGCAGAGATCTGCCCTTGGGAGGTGGGTAAAAAAGCAGCAGGGAAAGGGGAACTAGAGCAGGGGGTGAGCAGAGAACCACAAGGAGAGGTGTTCCTTGCAAAGGCAGAATCTGGAGGGACTGAAGGACATTTTTCAAAAACAGCAGCAAAACCTGGCAAAGAACAGCTGACAGTCTGCCCTGAGAAAGGCACAGGATCAGGAGGGTTCTTCCCACAGCAAGATGCTCTAGACACCAACCAACCCACAGTCAGTCCCCACAGAGCAAGCAGCATGGGGAGTAGGATAGCAGAACTGTGTCAATGGGAAGTAACAGATCCGGAAGGAAACAAAATAAAGGGCATCATGGCAGACATCTGTCCTTGGGAGGAAACTGGAGCCCTGTTGGAGGAATCTGGCCTCCTGGCTTTAACAGCAACTCAGACAGAAAATTTCCCCACAGCTCCTGAAAAATCATCATGCCTTTTAGTTCATAGACCTCTGGAAAGGTTCCTTTCAGAGAGCAAGAGCTCCCACCCCAAGGTGAGCAAGCCAGTCAGTACTCTTACTCTGGGAGGTATCAGAGAACCACAGGGACCTTCAGGACTTGGGCCAAAGACCTGCTTAGGCACAGAATCAAGTCTCCAAGAAGGTGAGGCTCAAAGGTCTTCCTCCTTAATGGAAGACCATAGACAAGTAGCTTCTGAAGCTCAAGATGAAGAACTCACCCCTCTTGTCTATCCTTGGGACTTGGAATAAGCTCTGTCAGGTGAGCTCAAACAGATCTAGGCTTCAGGAACCAAAGTCCTTTCTAAATCTTAGTGTTTCCAAAGAGCTGAATCAAAGACACTTGGCCACTTCTAAGAAGGCCAAAGGTCCACTCATTCAAAATACAACTATACAAGAAGGGTTCAGCTCAGATCCCAGGGAAAGTCCCACCCATTCTTTGCTTTTAACTTTTCTTCCTGATTGAGGATACAAAGGCTGGACCCTCTACTTCCAGAGACTCCTCCCACCCACCCATCTAACATACTTGACACAAGCCACTGGAGTGTTACTGATGAAAAGAAGTCAGCAGTGCCCAGAATAGGGAAACTTAATTCTCTGGAGTCTATAAAAGGGTGATTTTTTTAAGAAACAAAAACCACCCAAGGAGTTGGCAACATAGGGACTGTGGAGCCATATAAGGTTATAAAGTCACTCTATGCAGCTTCAGAAGGTACTTAATTCAAGTTGAAAGATAAACTGGGGGAAAACTAAAAGGACTCAAAACAGGTGCCTAAAAAGCCTTAAGGACCTTGTCTTTTGTCTCCCATTCTTCTCTCTACCATTCTTCTCCCATTTCTTCTCTCTACCCTGCCTGACTATTGAAGTAGAGACAATCAGGTACTCTTCCTTCCATGCCAACATCTGGCATCCAAAGTGACATCAGACAAAGAGAATAGAAAAGGAAAAGCAATTTCTCCAGGTCCTCCCCACACTGGGAGGTACAGATATCCTTAGTATGCCTCTTGCTAGCTTTCTTGGGTGACCTCCTCCTCTTCCTGACCCAGCTCTTGCTGATCTTCAGAGCTCATCTCACTGGTTCATTCAGTGCTCTCCTCCTAGCCTTTCAGCACTATCACTATCCCCTCTTTTGCCAGTGTAACTGGAACCAAAGGAGAAACTGTGGTTCTGATGCAAGAACTACTTCAAATCACTTACTCAGTAACAAGAGGCCACATCAATCTCCTTCCCAGGGGAGCCCTACAAAGGAAAGAGGTCATTTATAGCCAGCATTCCCAACGACTTCTGCACTCAGAAAGAGCAGAACTCCAGGGCAAGTCAGAAGCCAGGATTGAGAAATGGCCTGGTGTTAGGACAAAGGCTACTTTCTTAGGCAGCTCTTTCTTAGCTCTCTCAACAGTCAGAGCTCAGGCTACTCTTGCTTAAGCAGTGCTAGATAACAAAGTGCTGGGATTAGATGATACTACCAAAGGAAAGTGAAGAAGAAGAAAAACATACCAAGAAGTTCTGGAATTGGCAGAGGTGAGGTGGGGGTGGAAACTGGCAGGCTAATGTGGCAAAACTGTCCGTGGCACTCAAGATGGCAGTAAGTCCCAATCTCCAACAGTACAGGTATGGATGTCATTTATGGGGAGAAAAGACAAAACAAGACCAAATATCCAGGAGGAAAACAATGAGTTTGCATGTAAAGATTCTGGGTAGTTATAGTTTCCAGAAAAAGTAGCAAAGTTCTCCATTTCCAAAAAGGAGCAAAGGAATAGAGTAACTTCCCCTTCTTTGGGGTTCAGAGGCCTTTGTTCCCATATGGAGACCCTCCCACTTACCCTGGATTTTACAGTAGTAACTTAAGTATGTTGTTACTCCGTGTCCTGGCTGCTTAACCCCACAGCTTCAGAGCTTATGTGGACTTTGCCAACTGTGCACCCCAGAGCAATTCTATTGGGTGTGGTCTAGCTGGAAAAGCAAAGTTGCCCCCACATTCAATTTTGTGAAATAAACCATGGGGAGAAGGAATAAAAAATGCTTTTTCTCAACCACTGCAGTTGGCTCCAGCTTATTCCTAATGGTGATTTTCTTTTTCAACAAAGGAACAACAGATAGATAAGGTAAAACAAGGCCTGCTCCAAAGTCCAGGGTAATAACACTACAGTCTACAGGACTTCAGGTCATCTGACTAATTCTCTACCAGTATCCAGAAATGTAGCTGACACTGCAGATGGTCTCTGCCTGATCCTTCTAGTCAACCCTTCACATCTGGACCATTCGCTAGCTGGATTTGATCCCAAAGGGAAATGAAAATTGCACTTATCCTCTGGCTCCCCGGTGGCAGTTATTGCTTGGATGCTATTTAGGATTATCTAAAGACCCCCCAAGACAGATCAAGGGGAATATGTAAAACTGAAACATTGTTTTTACACATTCAAGAGAAACCAATGTAACTTTTACCCATTAAATGTGCTTTTTTTTGTTTCTCTGCTTCCCTCTCCTGTCAGGATTACATCCCCTTCCTCCGAATGCCCCAGCTATGGATCCTGTTCAAAGCACTTCTCATTTTGCCTTAATCCAGGGCTCAAGCAAATAGGATGCAACCAAACCTCACTTGGGCAGTAATGCTGCAAAGTGATGTACATTTTAAGCCAAAAGGGTCAAGACTAAGTAGTGAGATGAGAGTGGCTGCTTTGTATTATCCCATCAATGCTGTTTCCCCTCTAAGCATATACGGCAATTTCTACCATCAGCACTTAAAAGCTGTTGAAAAAACACCAGTTTTGCCCAATAAGACCTGGTCTGTTTGCTGCTTTGCTGAAATGATAGTTAGAGAGACTGAAAAATAAGTTATTTATTTTTGACCTGATTCCAGCTTCTATGGACTGTACTTTCAAGACAAGATCAGAACAGCTTATTTCTTAGTTTAAGTGATAGATAGGATGGGAATGCAGAGTGCTGGCCTAATATGTGTGAGGCCCTAGGTTCGATCCCTAGTTCTGAAAAAAAAAAAAAAAAGTAACAGACTCCTTAAAAAGAAACTTCTATGCTTGAAAAAGAGAAAATGTGAGAATTAAAGGCCCCATTTTTAAAGAGGAGCCCATGCTGAGCTGATGAAAGCAACAGCACTATGAGCCAAGCTTACTGCTGGGCAAGTGAGATTTGCCTTGTCATTACTCAGATGACCCAGGACACAGAGCATATGAAGTCCCACATCCTTCTCGTAACAGCCCAACTGGAGCTAAGGAACAAGGAAGGGTGGGGCTGTTTTATTTGACACAGGTTTGTTTTCTGGTGCATTTAACTTCCCAATTCTGGGCTGGAAAGAATAGCTGCCATCTCCAGGAGGTGCTAGAAATCAGGGAACCAAGTCTTGCTGATGAATTCCCCAAATGTACTAACCCTTCTGTGCCCTTGCCTCCTCCCAAACTTCAAGGGGTCACACCAGGAAGCAGCTACTAATTAAGAACACAATCCAGGGGCTGGGGATGTGGCTCAAGCGGTAGCGTGCTCGCCTGGCATGCGCGCGGCGCTGAGTTTGATTCTCAGCACCACATACAAATAAAGATGTTGTGTCCGACGAAAATTAAACAAATAATATATATATATATATATATATATATATATATAAAGAAAACAATCCAAAAGCTAATGAATAAATTATTTCTTTTTATTTATATTCTTCTACAAAGTATAAATGCTAATTCAGTAAGTCACTCTATGAGAAAAAGACCCTCTTAAGTGATACCCAATTTTATGAACACTAATTATTCTCCCAAGTCTGGATTTCCTAGAAGTCAGACCACTCACAACTAGGCTTATCTTCCACTTCTCCACTTGAAGGTTGGCCTATTCCCCCAGTTGAATCTCAACTGGGGAAAATATAGAGAACCCACAAAAAAAAAAAAAAAAAAAAAAAAAGAAAGAAAAAATGAAACCAGGGGTGATCTAACCATTGAGCTACATCTCTAGTCTTTTTCTTTTTTTGTTATGAAACAGGATCTTGTTAAGTTGCCTAGGCTGGCCTCAAACTTACAATCTTCTTGCCTCCCAAGTCACTGGGTTTACAGGTGAGTGTCACCACACAAGGCACAACACCAAAATTTGTCCAACACTCTAGTAGTATTTTATTTCAAACTCTGATCTCTGCCTAGTGATTACAAAAGAATGTTGCTTATTAGCTCCCACAGTCTCTGCTGTGAAAAAAAGTACAGATGTTTGTTCAGTGAAACATATTGTCTTTCATCTAGACTCAGAAGCTAGACATATGATTTTAAAAAGAAAAAAGGTCCATGTCTATGCATACTAGCCAACGACCTGGGCCCAGCCATCAGACATGGTTGTAAGGATGAATCTGCTCAAAAGATCCAAGCAGGGCAGGAGGAAACAGGAGTGGTCTGAAAGAGATGGATGACTTCACAACGTCCAGAATCATCATCACCAGTGCTTTACCCCAAGAGTCATTTTTGTCGTCAGGCTATAGCTGAGACTTATGGTTCTCTCTTTGTGCCTCTTCACATTTTTCCCAAGATTCCAGCTGGGGGCCAGGAATCATCACCGTCTGAAAGATAGTAGGCTGAGTTACCTGCCAGCCAAGACCATGGCTTACCCAGAAGGCTTCATCCCTGCCTCTACCCATCCCATAACAAAGAGTTCCTCTTCTCCACTGTTGAATCTTTCCCTCTCTCCTTAGGTGGAGCCCAAGAGGACTTAGGATGCCCAACTATCGACTGAGGTCTCTTTTTCCTCTGTGGCGCTGGGGATAGAACCCAGGGCCTTGTACATGCTTGGCAAGGGATCTACTTATGAGCTATACCCCCAGCCCCTGCCTCAGGCCTCTTAAACTGTGCAAGCTTCCTTACCTTAAGGATGGGCTGCTTTGGGGGTGCCCATGGGGGAACAATCTTGCCATGCATTCTCCAACTCCCGTAGGGGTTCAGCAGGTGTTTTTCAAACACAATATACTCCAAGACATCCTTGGGTACATCTTCTTGTCCATACATCAACCGCCCAAACCGATCATAGATGGCTAGAGTCTGTAAGGATGAAAACAAATCTGGCATGTTAGGTTTTTTTGTTTTGTTTTCCTTTGTTTTGCCAGACAACCATTTTAGAAATAATCTTAACAAGAATTTTTAAATTTTCAAAAAAATTTTTTTAAATATCAGAAGTCGAGGGCTGGGCTTATAGCTCTGGGGCAGAATGCTTGCCTCATACTTATAAGGTACTGGGTTCAATCCTCAGCACCACATAAAAAATAAATAAAACAAATAAAGATATTGTGTCCATCTTTAAAAAAAAATCTCAGAAGTCTGAATCAAAGACTAACTAATCAACTGCTGACACTTTGTTCTTAGAGATTCTTTGATGGGAAAGGGCAGAGTGGGGTTAACACTAGGAAGGGTGAGAGAGAATGTCCTTACACCACACCTTAGTAGGGCTAACATTATAAGCATGAGGAAGGGGCAATGACAGAAAGAAGACCACAGTGAACCTTTCCTTAGAACCTACAGTACTGGAGCTGGAGATGCAGCTCAGTGGTAGAGCCCCTGCTTAGCATGCATGAGGCCCTGGGTTCCATCCCCAGCATCACCAAAAAAAAAAATCCCCAAACCTCAAATCCTGAACTGGAAGAAGATTCTAAATCTGAGAGAAAAGAGAAGCTGGAAGGAAAGCAAACTGGTGACTCTACCTGCCGTGTGTGCATGCGGACAGTAACCTGGCCATACATGTTGCTCTGGTTCACCATACTCGAGCAGCGAACCTGCACCACCTGGGCCGGCTCTAAAGATTCCACGAAGCCCCAGCGGACAGTCTTATACTTGATGTCCCAGACCATATCCTAAGGGCAGAGAAGAACAAGTTCAACTGGGTTTCCCCCTCCCTACAGGGTTGCTGGTACTGCCACACTTGCTCTCACTTCCTGCAATACTACAGGCAGTGTTTCCCACCAAATGCTCTCTTGTGCCTTTTATTCCTAAGTCATGATTAAGCTACTGCTCAAGCTCAAGCTGTAGACTTTTCATCTAAATCACCTCCCCTGAGACCTACCTACCTCAAGGACCCTTCAAGTGAAAACAGCATTCCACACTATTGCCAGCATGCAAAATGAGCCATATTTCCTCTCATTCACTTGCATAATCTATTAATGACTGCATATTTCTCTTCCCTCCCCCCTCACCTTTTAGCAGTAAAGGTAGGAATTTCACCAAGACCTATTGCTCTAATTATCCCTGGGGGGACTGATAGAAACTGAAGTTCTACAGATAGAAACTACAGCTGAATTTGTAGAAAATGAAGTTCTTATTCTTGAACTTCTAACTGGTACCAAAGATTGAACTCAGGGGCACTCAACCACTAAGCCACATCCCCAGCCCTATTTTTTGTATTTTCCTTAGAGACAGGGTCTCACTGAATTGCTTAATGCCTTGCTATTTGCTGAGGCAGGCTCATAAAGCCCTATTCTTGAGAGCCCCTAGTGCACCTAAGGCCGGTTACCAAATAAGCCTTGTGAACCCTTGTTAAATCCTTTGCTGCACTGCAGACATGTGTAGGTGTGGCTTCACACAGCCTACTGTGACCTCAGGATCTACACCGCATGGTTTCAGTGCTGTCCACTGAGGTACTCCTGCTTTTCTTCATTTGCTATGGACCTTACCAGACTCTGTGCCAAGTCATTATCATTTAGCTAAAACTAAAAAAATTTAAGCCTGTGCCTTAAACTTTCTACACTTTCAAATCTGATCCTTCATGCCAGGTATAGGTGGTGGTACATGCCTGTAATCTCAGCAGCTCAGGAGGCTGCAGCAGGAAGATTGCAAGTTCAAAGTCAGCCTCTGCAACTTAGCAAGGTCCCATTTCAAAATAAAAAATAAAAAAGAGGTGCAGATGTAGCAGTGAGTCGTTCAGCACCCCTGGGTTCAATCCCTGGTACCAAAAATAAATAAATAAATAAAAGAAGAATTAATTGAAAAGAAAAACAAAAAACTGATCCTTTGTAAGACAACACATCTATGCTCTGCCCTTCAGGTATCCAGCAGCTCTAAGAAGGATGAAAACCTACCGGAAAACAGTGTTCAGTTACCAAAGTATGAAGCCGGTCATGGTCTGAGCTAGGAAAGAAAGAGAGAGAGAGAGAGAGAGAGAGATCACTGACACCTTCTTTTATGATGCCCTGTGTGAAAGTTGAATATGGACCTAAAAGTGAAAAACAATTCATTTTTACATTTTTCTGCACATGTATTGTAAGCCAGATGACATGCTAAGTTCTAGAGACACAAAAATGAACCCTTCTTATCTATTATCCCACCTTAGAAGTTTTCAGGAGAAATAAATTCCATTTTTGATGAGCTCTCTTAGTCTTTTTTGGATTTGTTTGTTTATTTTGGGTATCGAGGACTGAACTCGATATGGCACTCGACCACTGAGCCATATCCCCAGTTCTATTTTGTATTTTATTTAGAAACAGGGTCTAACTGAGTTGCTTAGCTGTTGCTGAGGCTGGCTTTGAATTTGTGATTCTCCCATCTTATACTCCCAAGCTCCTGAGTATTTATTTATTTTAAGGCAGGGTCTTGTTAGGTTGCCTCTGTTGCCCAGGCTGTCCTTGAAGTTGGGATTTTTCTGCCCAGTCTCCGAAGTAGCTGGGACTATAGGCACACACCACCATGCCTGGCTTAAGTTCATTTAATGTTAGAAGAGAACTTACACTGAAAAATAAAAGGAAGACATTCTGAAACATAACAGACAGAACTCATGTGAACCTACTCCCACTGCAAACATCTAGAAATGCTGGGTAAAATATAATGGATACACACACACACAGAGATTGCTTTTTCACTTAGGAGTAGGTTATATCCTGGTAAACCCATCATTAAATTGAAAATACTGAAAGCTAAAGGCACACTTAATACACCTAACCTAACAATATCTCATAGTAACAAAGTATACCACAGAGTATTGAATGGTGGCTTCCCCTGCAGCTGCCCATCATCATGAGACAAAATTATATGCATATTGGTAACTCAAGAAAGATCAAAAATCAAAATTCAAAGTATGGATTTCTACTGAATATGTATTACATTCACACCATCATGAAGTAAAAAAAAAAATCCTAAGTTGAACCATTGTAAGTCAGGGATCATTTGCACACACATTTTTAAACAGGCAAGCCTAAATTACAAGGAAAAAAGGAAAATCCCCAGATGCAAGAAATGAAGAGGGATCCAAAAACATTCAAAAAGGAAAAAATGCAACCTGATAGACTCTATGACAGCATGAAGGATGATTGAGCAATCCAGAAATAAACAGCACATTCTTTTTTTTTTTTTTAATATTTGCTTTTTAGGGGCTGGGGATGTGGCTCAAGCGGTAGCGCACTCGCCTGGCATGCGTGCGGCCCGGGTTCGATCCTCAGCACCATATACAAACAAAGATGTTGTGTCCGCCAAAAACTAAAAAATAAATATTAAAATTCTCTCTCTCTTCTCTCTCTCTCACTCTCTCTTTAAAAAAAAAAAAATTTACTTTTTAGTTGTAGTTGGACACAAGTTGTGTCCTTTATTTTATTGATTTATATGTGGGATGAGGATTGAACCCAGGGCCCCGCACGTGCTAGGCAAGCACTCTATCGTTGAGCCACAACCCTAGCCCCTACATAGCACATTCTTAAATGGGTCAAAGAAGACAAGGGATATCAGAAAATACTCTAAGATAAATAAAAAATACAACATACCAAAACCTATGGGATGCAGCAAAAGTAATACTAAGAAGAAAATTCAGAGATACAAATGCCCACATTAAAAAAGAAGAGTGGTCAAGTATATGCTTAGCATGGGTTTAATACATGTAGCATGGGTGCGTACCTGTAGTCTCAGGGACTGGACAGCGTGACATATATTCGTCATGGGTTTCAGAAACTGGAAAGCCCAAGATCAGGGCACTGGCAAATTCGATGTCTGGCATGGACCCATTCAACGTACATTGGTGCCTTCTTGCTAAGTCCTCAAAGGGCAAAAAGTTCTCTCAGGCCTGTTTTATAAGGGCCCTAATTCCATTCATTAGGGCTCTGTTCTCATAATTTGATCAGCTCCCTAAGGATCCAAAGCCTAATACGATCACCTTGGCCGTAAGATTTCAACACATAATTTTAGGAGGACACAATTATTCAGAGACCAGCATTAGAATAGGCAAATTCATAAAGTGAGAAAATAGAATGGATGTTAACAAAAGAGAAGGGAAAATGGGTAATTATTGCTTAATGACCATAAGGTTTCTGTTTGGGATAATGAACAAGTTCTAAAAATGAATAGTGATAATGGTGGTGCAACAACCACTGAATTATACACTGAAATCGTTAAAATGGTAAATTTTATATTATAAAATTTTATAATATTTTATATTTTATATTAGGCATATTTTACTACAAACATGTATAAATATATAAAATATATTAGTAAAGAAAGATAGATATATATATAAATTTTTTATTTTTTGGTACCAGGGATTGAACCTAGCAGCTCTTAACCACTGAGCCACACCTCTAGCCCTTTATTTTTTTAATTAATTTTTTAGTTGTAGTTGGACACAATATCTTTATTTTATTTATTTTTATATGGTGCTAAGGATTGAACCCAGGGCCTCACACATGTTAGGCAAGCGCTCTACTGCTGACCCACAACCCCAGCCCCATCCCTAGCCCTTTTAAATTTTTATTTTGATACAAGGTCTCACTAAGTTGCTCAGGACCTTGCTAAGTTTTTGAGGGTGCCCTTATACTTGTAATGCTCTGTCTCAGCCTCCTGAATCAATGGGATTACAAGTGTGCATCACCACACCCAGCTAAAGGTGTGTATTTTTTTTTTTGTAGTTATAGATGGACACAATAGATAGATAAATAAATCTATCTATCTATCTATTTATTTATTTATTTATCTTGTGGGGCTGAGGATCAAACACAGTGCAGGCACTCTACCACTAAGCCATAACCCCAGCCCCTAAAGGTATAGTTTTTGACATGATTATATCTTTAATTTTTCTTTTTCTTCTTCCTTTTAAGAGAAGGTTTTTCTATATATGTTTTCCAGGCTGGCCTAGAACTCATGGGCTCAGTGATCCTCCTGCCTTAGTCCTCCAGCCTCAGTATCCCAAGTAGCTAGGATTACAGGTGTGCTCCATGGTACCCAGCATATCTTTTGATTCTTAAAAAATAAATATTTGGGCTGAGTAAGGTGGTGTGGGTCTATAATTCCAGCTACTGAGGACGTTAACACTGGAGGATTCCAAGTTCAAGGCCAACATGGGCAACACAGCAAAACTCTACTCAAAATCAAAAAATGTAAAAGGGCTAGTTATGTAGCTCAGTGGTAGAGCATGTGCTTAGCACTGTATAAGGCCCTGGACTCACTCCTCAGTACCAAAAAACAAAACTATTTTTTAGAAAAATGCAGGCATGGGCTGGGGATGTGGCTCAAGCGGTAGCGCGCTCGCCTGGCATGCATGCGTCCCGGGTTCGATCCTTAGCACCACATACAAACAAAGATGTTGTGTCCGCCGAAAACTGAAAAATAAATATTGAAATTCTCTCTCTCTCTCTTTAAAAAAAAAAGAAAAATGCAGGCATACAAAAGATAAGAACTAACCAAAATCAAAAAGAGGGGAGAGAAAAGACAACTGAAAACAATTGTACAGCATATATAGATTGTGGAGTTACCAAAGATTTTAAAATAAGTGTAATAATATGTTTAAGAATTCAGGGGCTGGGGATATAGTTCAATTGGTAGAGTACTTGTCTTGCATGGACAAGGCCTTGGGTTCAATCCCCAGTACCACCAAAAAAAAAAAAAGAATTCAGGAGCAACCTGCTATTGGGTCCCCCCTTGCTCTGTGGGAGCTCTGTCACTTTTCTCCTTACTTAAATAAATCCTACTCCTTTCATTCTTGCAAAAAAACAAAGAAAGAAAATAAATTAGAGCCAGGCACAATGGCACATGCCTATAATCCCAGCAGCTCAGGAGGCTGAGCCCTAAACAACTTAGCAAAACTCTGTCTCAAAATAAAATAAAAGAGCTGGGGACATAGCTCAATGGCAAAGCACCCCTGGGTTCAATTCCCAGTACCAAAAAAAAGAGAGAAAAGAAATTAGGGGCTGGGGATGTGCTCAAGCGGTAGCATGCTCGCCTGGCATGCGTGCGGCCCGGGTTCGATCCTCAGCACCACATACAAACAAAGATGTTGTGTCCGCTGAAAACTAAAAAATAAATATTAAAATTCTCTCTATCTCTCTATCACTCTCTCTTTAAAAAAAAAAAAAAGAAAAGAAATTAGGTGACAAGACAGATGTGCATCTGTAATCCCAGCTACTTGGGGTGGGGAGCACAGGGAGTAGCTGAGCCAGAAGGATATTTGGCCCAGTAATTCAAGGCCAGCTTGGGCAACATATCAATACCTTGACTCTCTCTCTCTCTCTTTTTTTTTAGTTGTACTTGGACACAATACTTTTATTTTATTTATTGTATGTGGTGCTAGGTGAGCACTCTACCACTGAGCCACAACCCCAGCCCAAAAAACCTTGACTCTATAAAATAAATAAATAAATAAATATCATAATATATTAAGTAAGAAGTTAGATGACAAGATGGAAAAATTTAGCAGAGAAACTGGACACAGTAAAAAACAACAACAAGGGGCTGGGGATGTGGCTCAAGCGGTAGCATGCTCGCCTGGCATGCGTGCGGCCTGGGTTCGATCCTCAGCACCACATACAAACAAAGATGTTGTGTCCGCCGAAAACTAATAAATATTAAAAAAAAAAAAAAAACCAACAACAACAATAAGGGCTGGGGTTGTGGCTCAGTGGTAGAGCGCTTGCCTAGAACAGGCGGGACCCGGGTTTGATTCTCAGCACCACATAAAAATAAAGGCGTTGTGTTGTGTCCATCTACACCTAAAAAAAATAAAATATTTAAACAACAACAACAAAAATCAAATGAAAAAAGATCAAGCTAAGTTTAACAGCAAATTACATACATTAAAAAGACAAGAAGACAAACCAGAAATAATCAGACTAAAGATGTAGAGATGGAAAAAAAATGACTGGAAAAATATTAAAAAAGAGCCTAAAACACTTTTGGCACATAGTGAAAAGCTCTAACATATGTCTATTCAAAAATCACACAATGAAACAAAAAAGTAGAGCAGAAGCAACATTTGAAGAGATATTCTGAGAATCTTCCAACACTGACAAAATACCCTAAAATTTAAAAACCAATAGGAAACATACCAGAACAAAGACACACACACAAACACACACAACTGTAAGTATATCATAGTAAACTGCTGAATACTCAAGGGAGAGAAAAAAATCTTAAAAGCAGCCAGATGAAAAGAAACTTTAACTTCAAAGAAACAACTAGAAAAAATAGATAACTTTCCAATAGAAACAGCAATAACCAAAAGATTACATCTTCAAAATGCTCATAGAAAATAAGAAAGAAGGAAGGAATTATTTCAGGTTTGGGAAGGGAAGTAAACAAAAAAATGAAAGCTACATAAAAAGAAACCAGAACCAAAAATTTAGACCACAATAACATGGAAGGTGGATAAGGCAATGATAAAAATTAAAGTGTTTGCTGGGCACAGTGGCACACATCTGTAATCCCAGCAGCTCAGGAGACTGAGGCATGAGGATCATGAGTTCAAAGCCAGCCTCAACAACTTATCGAGGCCCTAAGTGATTCAGCAAGACCCTATCTCAAGATAAAAATGTTCTGCCAGACATGGTGGCCTACACTTGTAATCCCAGCTACTTGGGAGGCTATGGCAAGAGGACTACAAGTCTGAGGCCAGCCTGGACAACTTAGCAAGACTTTGTATCAAAATAAAAAGGACTGGGGAATGTAGCTCAGTAGTCAAGTGCCTCTGGGTTCAATCCCTAGCACCACCAAAAAAAAAAAAAAAAAAAGTTAAAATGCCCTTGGTTGAAAAAAAGTTAAAATGTCCTTGGTTGAATAAAATTTAAAAAGCTGGAAATTTTCAAAAGTAACTAATTCAAAATAACTCAAGGAAAGGAAAATGTACATACATAAGACAAATGTACAAAAAAGATCAGGATGATTTAAGCCATTCCAGCATAGTCCCAACACTTGCAGGTGAAACTGAGGCAGACCAAATGGTAAAAACTCCTACAAGCAGGGAGAGAAGCAAAACATCACTTCAGTCACTAATTACTTTCCACATTGCAAGTTCTCTCAAAGAACTCTTTTTTTTTTTAATATTTATTTTTCAGTTGTTGTTACACACAATATGTTTATTTATATATGGTGCTGAGGATCGAACCCACGACCTCACACATGCTAGGTGAGCGCTCTACCGCTGAGCCACAACCCCAGCCCCAGAACTCTTTTTTTTTTTTAATTGTTGATGGACCTTTATTTTATTTGTTTATTTATATATGGTGCTAAGAATGGAATTCAGTGCTTCACACATGCCAGGCAAGCACTGTACCACTGAGCTACAACCCCAGCCCCTCACTCTAGAACTCTTATTTGAAGGAAAAGGAAATAAATATGTACAGAAAACTGTGCCTTGGGGCTGTGTTGTGGCTCAGTGGTAGAGTACATGCCTAGCATGTGAGGCATTGGGTTCCATTCTTAGCACTGTATATACATAAGTGAATAAAAATAAAGGTCCATCAAAATCTAAAAAAACATATATTTTTTAAAAAATGTGCCTAGGATAATAGCTTTTGAGAACAAACACATACAAGATAGGGAGTTCACTTACTTGTTTAGACAAAGGTGTGCTTCTATGAAAATATCCTTAGCTTTTTCAGGGAAGTCCTTTGTTTTAAAATTAGCATCAAATTCTTTTATCTTCCGGATTCTGTAAAATTAAGCATGAGAATCATTATAAAGAAAGCTTCATAGAATTCCCATAACTCCTAACTTACATTAACCTCCATTAGTACCTGCTCATTCAATAATTAATTTTTGAATGTCTCAATTCCTGTAAATTCAAGCCTCAAATTCTCAAATCAATCATTCAAGGCTCTCAAAGTGAAATTTTAGAATTCTGGGATTGAAAAAATTTATCCTGGTTGGGGTTGTGGCTCAGCGGTAGCGCGCTTGCCTAGCATGCGTGAGGCACTGGGTTCGATTCTCAGCACCACATACAAATAAGTGAAAATAAAAGTCCATCAACAATTAAAAACATATTTAAAAAAAATTATCCTATGAGCACTAAGACAGAAAGAACAACCCAGAAGCATAGTTTAGTGACAGAGCACATGCTCAGCACATGAATACCTAGTTCAATCCCAAGGAAAGACAGGAAAGGAAGAAAGATAAAAAGGTAGGAAGGAGGGAGGGAAGGCAAGGAAAAAAGGAAGGAAGGAAGAATGGATGATCAAACAGTTTTCATACAAAGCTTCAAGAGTCAGAATGGTGGGCTGGCGATAAAGCTCAGTTGGCAGAGTGCTTGCCTTGCATGCAAAAGACCCTGGTTTAAATCCCCAGCACAACAAAAATAAAAATCAGAATGAAGAAGTACTTTTTATACTGGGGACTGAACCCAGGGATATTCTACCACAGAGCTACACAGCCCTTTTCTTTTATTTTTTGAGATAGGTGACTGAGTTTACAGGTATGCACTAACATGCCAAGTGGAGCAGTACTTTTTCCCCCCAATACTAGGAATTGAACTCTGGGCCTCACACATGCTAGGCAAGTACTATACCACTGAGGTATATCCCCAGCTTCAGAACAGTGGTTTTAATTAAGGAAAAAGTAAATCTGGCCCAGAATTGTATTCCTGAGAAAATTATAAATGAAGTAGGAGAATAAAAGATGATTTATTTTTTCTTTGAGTACTGGGGATTGAACCTAGGGGTGCTTAACCACAGAGCCACATCCCTCTCAGCCTTTTTTATTGAGAGGATCTTTATAAGTTGTTTAGGGCCTCGCTAAGTTGGTAAGGCTGGCTTTGAATTTGTGATCCTCCTGCCTCAGCCTCCTGAGCTGCTGGGATTATAGGCACATACCACAATATCCAGTAAGATTTCTCTTTTATATTTGTAAGATCTCATTTATTGACCATGCACTGTTTTGGGGTTTTGTTTTTAATATTTTAGTTATGGATGGACACAATACCTTTATTTATTTATTTTTATGTGGTGCTAAGCCTTAAACCCAGTGCCTCACACATGCTAGGCAAGTGCTCCACCACTAAGCTACAGCTCCAGCCCCCCATAAATTGTTTCTTAAGAAGCTACTAAAGAATATGTCATCAGAGTAAAAAATGAAGCATTAGCCAGGTGCCATAGTGTAGACCCAGCAACTTGGGAAGCTGAGGCAGGGGAATAATGAGTATAAGGCCAGTCTAGGAAATAGAGGGATCCCATCTCAAAAAGCAAAAAACCAAACCAAAAACCAAACAACACATGAAAGGGGAAGACACAGGACCCAAGAAACAGGGAATACAACACAAGAGAAAAAAAAGGAATGTTAGGCTGTTGACTATAAATAGATCCCAAGATGTACAGTAGGGCCCAAAAAGCAACTAACTAAGACTGAAATAGACAGGTTCCAGGAACAATTTCTTGAGGATTAAACTGATAAATACTCAATGTTTTAAATGCAATAAAAGGGGATTTATATAAATACAGGTTTTTTTAAGCAAAATAGAAAACACGACCTTCAGGAAAAAAAATTTATGTTGGAAAGGAAAAACAATCATAATGTATTATATGATTCATAAGTCAATAGCATTTTGAGTTATAATTATATAATTAGGGGCTGGGGCTATAGCTCAGCGGTAGAGTGCTTGCCTAGCACATGTGAGGCCCTGGGTTCAATCCTCAGCACCACATACAAATGAATAAATAGAATAAAGGTATTTAAAATAATAATAATAATAATAATTATATAATTAGGGAATTCTGATTTAATCAGAATGTAACTATAAATATATTCAAAGTATGAAGAACACCATCCAGTAGAATTTATTCCAGGAATGCAAGGTTAGCTTAAAATTGAATGTCAATTAGTGTAACATACCACATGGACAGAATAAAGACAAATAGACCATCATCTCAATAGATACCACAAAAGCATTTGACAGTTGTTGGTGGTGTATGTCTATAATCTCTGCTACTTGGTAGGCTGAGGCACAGGATCACAAGTTTGAGGCCAGACTGGACAACTAAGGAAGAACCTGTCTCAAAATTTTAAAAATGTAAAAAAAGGGCTAGGGATGAAGCTCAGTGGTAGAGTGTCCCTGGGCTCAATCCACATTATGGGATGGGGATGGGGTGGCATTTGACAAAAACCAACACCTTTTCAATAATTTTTTTCACTACAGAGCCTTGCTCGTATTGTTCTGTCTCCCTAGAATGCCATTCCCTGCTATCCTTCTCCACCTAGCTAATCCAAACAATCCCTTAGGTCCTAACTTTAAAATATCATTTCCTCAGGGAAGCCTTCCCTGCTCCACCAGATTGTCATCTTTCCCTGTCATGTGCTCCCACAGCACTCATACTTCAGCTTATCTAAAATTATTTAATTGTATGCAATCAGTATCTACAATGACTGTTTTTCCTTCCTAGGATGGTAACTCCATGAAAAAATTTTATGAGTTTTGTTCATCATAATTATCAGAGACCCCACAGTTCAGGAGCAATTATTAGCAGTACAGTTATTAGAAAAAGTAAGTATAAGTGTTCAGTTACAATTAAAGCAAAAGCAGCACTAAAAAGAGTTAGAGAAGGCCTAACAGCAGACACTACTCTTTTTTTCTGTTTTTTTTTTAGGGAGAGAGAGAGAGAATTTTAATATTTATTTTTTAGTTTTCTGCGGACACGCCAGGCGAGCACGCTACCGCTTGAGCCACATCCCCAGCCCACAGACACTACTCTTGAAATGGGTTTTATGTTAGTAAGGCAAGGGGAGGGTGTTTTCAGGATGTGCAAAGAGAGAAGCACAGCACAGAACTCTAAGGAATTGGCAATTAGTTCAGAAATGCTGAAGTTTAGGATGAGAAAAATGGAACAAGGGGCAAAAGATGATGATAGAGGAGGTGGCAAGGGCCAGATCACAAGTGTTGCCTATCACTGAAGAAATCTGGATTTTATTCTTCAGGCAATGGAGAACCCAGAGTTTAAAGCAGAGAAGGTGACATGATAAGATCTGTATTTAGAGAAATAAGTCATGGCCATGTGAAAAACTAACTCTGACAATATACTTGTACTCATAAACCTATACATAATCCCAAAGCACTTATAATTTAGATTCAGAAAGTGACAAATACTAAGTGATTTTGTACTTTCAATTAATAAGTTCAAGATCCTGCTCCTTAAGGCCCTATTTGTTCCCTGTAACAGATGTCTTCTTGACCCTTTTTTTTTTTTAACTTTTCTTACTCTTTGAAGCTTTAACTCTAAGATAATTCTTAAATAAATATGCTGCCTTTATTATTATTTATTAAAAATTTTAAATGTGATTGCAAAAGGGGTCCACATATTAACTGATTTGACTAAATTATCAATAAAGGTTGAGATGTTAAGAATCAGAATGCGGGCTGGGGATGTGGCTCAAGCGGTAGCGCGCTCGCCTGGCATGCGTGCGGCCCGGGTTCGATCCTCAGCACCACAAGCAGGCAAAGATGTTTCTTCCCGCCGAAAAAAATCAGAATGCCACTTGGGTTGTGGCTCAGCGGTTAGAGCATTCGCCTGGCATGTGCGAGGCCCTGGGTTCGATCCTCAGCACCACATAAAAATAAATAAACAAAATAAAGGTATTGTGTCCAACTACAACTAAAAAATAAATATTCAAAAAAAAGGAATTAGAATGCCCACATTATTCTGCATTAAATACAAATCTATTACAGAAGACAATACTGACAAAACATTAAAGAAGTTATACTCAACCCAATTAACCCAAGAAGGCATCTCTGGGATAAAGTAACAATAAGAAACTTCTATTTTAACATTGACCCATAATTGTCTCCAACACCTACGACAATTGTGATGCTGCATTTTTCTTCAATCGCTCAGTTCTCTGTTTCAGTCCTTCCTTTGAAAGAGATGACATTCGAGCATCACCCTCAGGAGGAACATAAGCATCAAAGATACCAGCTGTAAGGAGAGAAGAAAACTAAATAGGTTTTAAAAGAATCATAAAAAATCACCTTCAGGTCACATAAAATTGGGAAGGATCCTGGATAAAAAGTAAACTAATCTATAAAATAGGCTTCCACATAGAAGAAACCATGTTATACTAGGAAAAAAACAGAATAACTTAAAAGTCTGTTTCTACTTCTACAAAATGTGGAAATTTCACATTTGCTTTCTAGAAATACTGTGAAAACAAGATCAAGATTTTGTGAAACACAATGTATATAAAATAAATACTGAGGCTGAATTGATTTAGTGGTTAATTAAATGCTATCAATCTTAGTTCAAGAATTCCAAATTCCAGAAGGTCTCTGATAGTAGAGTATTGGGTAAAGGTCCCCAAAATACTGCACCTCACCTGTACAGGCCACATGTATGGGCCGATCCAAACGTTCTGGGGGAATAACCAATCCTGCTTTCCGGGCATATTCTATAAACTCCTTTTCTGTTTTGTATTTGGGTTCATAAGCAGGAGGTGTGAAACGTTTTTTAGTTCTTACTGGAACTACAGCTGTAGACTGAGTCATCAAGAGTGACTGAAATATAAGGAACAGATTAGAGTATAGGCAACCTGAAAAAAAAAAATCTATTTTGAACAAACTCTAAGCAATGCATATCCAAAGATTGTTTCAGGAAGAATTATAATGGAGAAAATGCACTGATGCCTTAACACCTAGGGACATATCAGACTCCAGTTAGCAACTTTTATTAACATCACTCAACATTTATTTACAAAAGGCTTTCTTCTAGTACATTCCATAGTACTGCTAGATACAGAGTTATTAAAGCAAAGCACTTTCAAAGAACTTTTCAGTCTGATGAGGAACTTTAATATCAACCCAATACCCACATGAGTGGAATGCTGTTATTGAAATATAAGCAAAGTTCTCTTCTTGACACCTTTTGCTCATTCTAAAAGGAATCTCACTGGAAACTATTCTGCTGTTCTAGCTCCCAATGAACAAAAAATAATTTAAAGGCCAGGTGACCTGCTCACTCTGATCATAAGATTTGCTCAGGAAGGGGCAGTGACAATAAAGGACTCCCTCCTTTCCAGCTACCTTTTTTTTTAATATTTATTTTTTAGTTTTAGGTGGATATAATATTCTTATTTTATTTTTATGTGGTGCTGAGGATGGAACCCAGTGCCTCATACATGATAGGCAAGTGCTCTACCACTGAGCCACAAATCTCAGCCCTTCCAGCTACCTTTTTTTTTTTTTTAAAATTGGTCATTGAACCCAGGAGCACTTTACCACTGAGTCACATCCTCAGCCCTTTTATTATTTTGAGACTAGGTCTCCCCAAGTTGCTTTGGGCTTCACTAAACTGCTGAGGCTCGTCTTGAACTTGGAATTCTTCTGGCTCAGCCTCCCGAGTCGCTGGGATTACAGGCCACCTTTCCAGCTACCATTCAATTTAGGCTATGTATAAGAATCTAGGAGAAGCGGGCCCACCCGCCAAGGCTCCACTTCTTTCCCCTTTAACACCTCCAGATAGACCCAATCCAAACTGAAGGGACCTAATTCATTTGACCTTAAGGCCCCGCACAGGATCTCCCCATTAGGTCACCGAGCCACGTAAGGGAATCTAGTCCATCTCAAAACTTTTCCCCTAACTAGATCTGGCCGCTTGGCCCAGTTGCACCAAGAAAAACTGCGCAACGCATATTCCCTTCTATTCTATCCTCCTTCTCCAGTCCCTAGCGTCCTATCTGTCCTGTCCCTACCCACCTGCCGAGACCACCATCCCAAAGCTTTGGATAAGCAAGACAACCTCCGAGGCACGGGGGCTGCCATTTTGTTCACGCAAAGGCCGCTGGGATGGGGGCTCTGCAAGAAAAGTGTGAGGTAGGAGAGAAGGCGCAAAGGGTGGAGCTAGCTCGGGAGTGGAATTTTCCAGGGAGCGCGCCCTCTGACGAAATGTGAGCCGCGTGGACGCGCACGTGCTCGCGGGGGTAGGGAGGGTCGCGTACGGACGCGCGCGTGCGCAGTTGGGGGTATGGAGAAATGCACGGCTGTCACGCGCCGGCTGGAGAATGCTTGAGTGCCAGCTGCGCGTGCGCATGAGGCTGTCTAGCGGCTTGTGGTTTCTGCATTCCTATGTGTTTGACACCTTGCTGCACCTTACTTACGTTCGGTAAAAAAATAAAAAGGTGTTCACTCTGAACTCAAGAGAGTTCTGAGGAGACAAGTATTTACCTTAAAAGCCAGGAGTACATTGAAGGTTTCTTGGATCCCAGAAAGGGCGAAAATGAGTAATTTCTGGATCTTTATCTGACCTTATATTATATGCTCTGTAACCTAAAACCTGAGCCTCAAGTTTTCCCTATCTACCTGGGAAGAAAAGTCTTATTGTTGAATTAGAATTGTCCATTGTGTTTACTAAGGCAAAAGGTACCCAAGACATTTTTGATTTGTCATTTCAGAAAAGTCACAGGCTTAATATTAACAAATTTAATAATAGTTGATACTTAGAAATCACTTACCAGCTGCCTGGCAATTTTCTAAGCATTTTACATCCTTTAACTCAATCTTCACCAAATAAGAACAATATTCCCATTTTACATTATATGGTTGAATCACAGAGGAATTAAGTAATTTATTTACTGTTAGACAGCTAAAAACTGGCAGAACTGAAGTTCAAATCCAAACAGTCTAACTCCAGAATCCATGTTCTTAACCACTATGATGTACTTCTCACATTCAGTTCTTAAAGGAGTCATGATTTGGGGATTATCCTGAAAAATTCAGTTGTCAAAGCAAACATATTCCACACTTATTCCCTAGGTTTGTTGTTGTTTGTAGTTTTGGTTTGGTTTGGTTTGGTTCTGGGTATTGAACCTAGCGGCACTTTACCACAGAGATACATTCCCAGCCTTTATTATTTTTTATTTTGAGACAGGATCTGGAATAATTACTGAAGCTGACCTCCAATTTGTGATCCTCCTGCCTCAGCCTCCTGAGTTACTAGGATTATAGGGATGCACCACCAAGCCAGTTTACCCATTGGTTATTATTTTTTATTATTTTTTATTATTATTTTATCAATTACTGTTTGAGCACCTATCTACAATATTTTGCAATGAATTAGGAACTATGGTCTGTGCATATAAGAGCTTTTAGGCTGGAGGATAATTCCTAAAAAGGTTGAAATAAAGTGGTAGGGACTATAAGAGAAACTGAGATTACTTATGGGTATGGAGATCACATACATCACTTTTGTGTGTGTGTGTGTGTGTGTGTGTGTGTGAGAGAGAGAGAGAGAGAGAGAGAGACAGAGAGAGAGACAGAGAGAGAGAGATGCTGAGGCTTGAACCCAGGGGTGCTCCACCACTGAGCTATATCTCCTTTTTTAATTTTTATTTTGAGACAGGGTCTCACTAGGTTGTCCAGGCTGGCCTTGAATTTGAGATCCTCCTGCCTTAACCTCCCGAGTCCCTGGGATTTCAGGGGTGTGCCACCATGCCCAATATACAAGTATTGTATATTGTTTTAAATCTTAACTTTTTAACTACACTGAAAATCTTCAAGGGTAAGAATTTCTCCACAAATTCTAGCCACAGCACCAAACCTATAAGATGACGTATTAATAGTGACATGAAATTAGATGCTGTATGTGTTGTGAAATATATATTATTTCAATGAGAAGTATTATTTCTTTTAAAAAATATTTTTAGATGTTGATGGAGCTTAATTTTTTTTAAAGAGAGAGAGAGAGAGAGGGAGAGAATTTTTTAATATTTATTTTTTAGTTTTCGGTGGACACAATATCTTTGTTTGTATGTGGTGCTGAGGATCGAACCCGGGCCGCACGCATGCCAGGCAAGTGTGCTACCACTTGAACCACATCCCCAGCCCAAGCTTAATTTTTTTAATCATTTTTATTTATATGTGGTGCTGAGAATCGAACCCAGTGCCTCTCACATGCTAGGCAAGTGCTCTACCACTGAATCACAACCCCAGCTCTGAGAAGTATCATTTCTTAACATTCTCCTATCTGTTCACTCTAGTCCCTAGAAAATAAAACATATTTTTTTTCTTTTTTTTTTTTAACTGGTATATCCACCAAGTGAGGAAACTCACTCCATGGATGAGTAGTTAGTGGTTATTGACTATACATAAAACTGATATAGTCTCTCTAGGATTATAATGAGTAGTTAGTGGTTATTGACTATACATAACACTGATATAGTCTCTCTAGGATTATCTTCTCTACTGTTGAGTTTTTCCTAGGCCTCATACAGTAGCCAACACATCCCACATCATTTCTGCCTACTCTCTGCTCACTTTCTCAGGTACTGCAGGCTTGATCCATATCAGCCAGGATGAAATAATAAGGGGAGTCAATATCATTTAATTAATTCTAAAGATGAATTTTAAGTGAGTGTTGTTTGATTAGCTGCCGTCTTGGAAAATTCATATCATCTTCCTACCCCATTAACTCCAAGGATAACTAGAAGCTCTTTGCTCAGAAAATATTACCAAAGAATATTTCTTCATCCTTACAACCACTGTGGTAGTTCACATTTCTGAAAAAGCAAGATCAAAAGATCTTGCATTAATGATGAGAACAAGAGAAGGGAAATCTGCAATTAGAGGAAGAAATACACGAGTAGGAGCTCAGCCTGGAAAAGAACAGTCTTGCACATAATATACACTCAAATATTTAATCAATAAATGGGTAAGGAGAATCCGAGATGAACTATGATGTAGCAGAAGGCAAAATTGATTTCCTGGGACTGCTGTTATGGCTCAGTGGTCCAGCACTCACCTAGCACATGTGAGGCCCTGGGTTCGATCCTCAGCACCACATAAAAATAAATAAGTAAATAAAATAAAGGTATTTTGTCCAACTACAACTAAAAAATAAAAATATTGATTCCCTATTTCTCCCAACACGGGAGTTCCTAAGAGTTCCTAAACTCCCTTGTTGTCCTATTGAAACTTCTAAGCAGGGCCCAAAGAGGGTAGGACTTCCCATGAGCAGTGGGACACATACTTGTAATTTTTTCCCCTCCTAGTGGCTGATAACATCAAAGTTTGGAACTTCTGAAATTTTGCTGAGTAGCCTATATCTAGGAGAAGCACAGCCAATTTAAACAGCACATCTGATTTGTGGTTCAGCGGTGAGCCACAAATTCTTCTGGTGAATTGGAAGAATTTGATTCCAAATAGCATTATACTTGAATTGAAAAAAGAAATAGGCTTGCTTTGTGTTTATATTGTATTTCCCCTCCCTAAAGTGAGAGCACCAAGAGCAAAAGAAGTAAATTGTGGCCAGTCACATGGTGGTGTCACAAGCCTCTAATCCAGGCAACTCAGGAGGCTAAGGCAGGAGGATTGTAAATTCAAAGCCATCCTCAGCAATTTAGTGAGACCCTAAGCAACTAAGCAAGACCCTGTTTCAAAATATACAAAGGGCTGGTTATGGCTTGGTGGTTAAGCACCCCTGAGTTCAATCCCTGGTAACAAAAAAAGGAAGTGAGTTGTCTAAGACCAGGTGCCACAAGAGAAACAAGAATCCTGACTTCTAAGAAGTACTCCCAATTGATCTTTAGCTAACAATGTTAGCAGAGCTTCTTTGTCACTCCAAGTTAACTATCTATGGCTTTCACATAATGATTAAGAATGGCCTAATGCCGAGGCTGATTGCAAGGAGGATTGCAAGTTCAAAGCCAGTCTCCGCAACTTAGTGAGGCTCTAAGCAACATAGCAAGATCCTGTCTCAAAATAAAAAAGGAACTGGGAATGTGGCTCAATGGCTAACCCCGGTACCAAAACAAAACAACAAAAAAAGAATGATACAGTGCTTGAGTTTACATTTTAGCTCCATTGCTTTCCCTCCTTTGTAGAAAGGGAGTAATTCTGTACCTAACTCACATAATTGTTATTAACTCATTATAAGTGAAATAAATTAAAACATGTCTCTCTGGTTAGTTATGGCCACTACGTCCAAACATCATGAGAGCCTTGGAGGGGATATATAGGGCTTAGCAGAATTCTAGTAAGTGTATCTGCTCTTTGTGCTGGACACAGAGAACATCCTTGCCTCCAGAGTTCATCCCAGTGCAATGTCCCTAAAGTAAGAGAGATTCAAAGGAGTCATGAACTAGAAATTCCCTGTGTGTTAGTTTTTTTCCCCTAATGAGCATTTCTCATCTCTGTTGAAGTTAAGACTACCAAAATACAGGTAGTTTCCAAGCCCCGAAGCAAATCCTCATTCCTGGGTTGTATAACTTTCTTCTGTCACCTGCCCTTCTTTCTCATCCATCCTTCCACTCACCCCTGCTGTGGTGACAAAGCCTTTGCCTTTGCCTCTTTCTGCCTGCCCTAGATTCCCTGTTCTAAAGGTATGTTTAGGATGAGATATTGCTCATCCTGGCACAGCAGAGAAAGAAGCCCATACATCCTGCTGTTCAAGTCAGGCCCAGAATTAATCCCTTGCCTCTTCTTGCTCCACTTTCACCCAAGCTGACTAAATCAAGCAATAATCCTAAAAGGGAATTTCAGGCTATCTGTGACTCCCTGCCTCTGCCCCGCCCCCCCCCCCCACCAACATGATGTTTAGGAAGGAGAAAGCAAAGCCCTTGGATCAGAGTAATCTGTTTCTAACCCATTTCCATTCTCAGGGATTACCTCCGCAGGGGGAGGGAGACAGAAATAAATCTAACACCTTGTTTGGGAACTTGGGGAGGAAGCTCCAGGAGGGCCCTAGAGGCCTGTGGGCATGGGGTCCCAGGATTCTAGGACCCTCCTTCTCACATGCTGGAGTACCCTGCAAAAAGGTCCACAGATTTGAAAAGCAATGTCTACACTAGTGTTTGGCAATAATAGGCACTCAATAATTGTGTTGAACGAAAGAATAAAAAATGTACAGATTGTGGGCAGA